GGGAGAGAGGGAGAGACAGAGAGAGGGAGGAAAAGAGTGAGAGAGAGGGAGGGAGAAAGGGGGAGGGAGGGAGAGACAGAAAGAGGGAAGGAAAGAACGAAAGAGAGGGAGGGAGGGAGAAAGAGAGAGAAGAAAAGAAAACGTTAAAAAGGAATATCTGCCATTCCCGATGCTAAATTCTCCCTCGCTAGATTCAAATTTAAAAAGCAAAGGAGGATGGCAGGGCAGCCATTTAAATGGCTCAAAGAAGAAACAAGGGTTTATTCCAAAGAAATCAGGGTTTATTAAGGTTTACCTTAAAGACTTCCATGGGAAGGGAATGTTTCTCTGCCTCGGTCAGAGCCGTGGTGAGGGCTGTCCGCCATTCAGACGTCGTCTTCAGAGAAGAGATTTCTGCAGAGAAAAGCCCAGGAAATCCCACAACCGATTAAGCCAGCGGCGCACATTCAACCATCCCGCATGCTGATAACAGACGGTCCTCGACTTACGACCACAATGGAGCCCAAAATATCTGTTGCTAAGCGAGACATTTTTAAAGCGAGTTTTGCCCCATTTTACGACCTTTCCTGCCACCGTTGTTAAATGAATCACTGCAGTTGTTAAGTTAGGAATAGGGTTGTTAAGTGGATCCGGTTTCCCCATGGACTTTGCTTGTAAGAAGGTCGCAAAAGGGGATCACGTGATCCCAGGACACACAATAGGAGTGTCTGAATTTTGATCCCATGACCCTGGGGATGCTGCAATGGTCATAAGTGTGAAAAACGGTCATAAGTCACTTTTTTTCAGTGCTGGTGTAACTCCGATTGGTCACTAAATGAGCTATTGTAAATCGAGGACCCCCTGCGTGGACTTCAACTCCCAGAATTCCTGAGCCAGCCATGCTGAGGAGAAATGGAGAGGTTTCCATGCTGAGCCATGCAGGCTCAGGAATTCTGGGAGTTGAAGTCCACGAATCATAAAAGAGCCAAGGTTGCCTACCCCTGCCCTATCCTGTTCCTCTAGTCTAGGCCAGGGGGTTTCCAAACTTGGCAACTTTAAGACTGGTGGACTTCAACTCCCAGAATTCCTCAGCCAGCCATGCTGAGGGGAAAGGGAGAGGTTTCCAAGCTGAGCCATGCTGGCTCAGGAATTCTGGGAGTTGAAGTCCACGAGTCATGAAGGGGCCATCGTTCCCCCATGCTGGCTCAGGAATTCTGGGAGTTGAAGTCCACGAGTCATAAAAGAGCCAAGGTTGCCTACCCCTGCCCTAGCCAGTTTTCTTTCGCTCCGTTGATGCCGTCACTCCTCCAAGCCACGTCCAGAAAAGAACCATGAGGGGAAAGTGAAGGGGTCATTTTATCTGAGGAAACCTGGCTTATCTCTGTAGTAGAGAAAGCGGTCAGTTTAATTGTTAATGAAGACCAAAAGCTCAGACACCTGGCACTTTGCCCTACGTGCACTTTTAATCATGTTGGGTTTTTTGCAGCAGCTCCGATGAAGCTCCTTCGGTGAGGAAAATCCGGGGATCCCTCAGCTGCAGCTATAATCTGGTTGGTTTCATAGCAGTGTTTCTCAGATTTTAAAAATGGTGGACTTCAACTCCCAGAATTCCCCAGCCAGCCAGCCTGATGTCAAAAACAGGGAGAAGGAAAGTTGGAAAAGCAAATCCATATTCTAGACGGGAGGCAGCTGTCTAAAATAAGATTAGGGAAAGTAAAAGCTCCCTTGAGTCAAGTTCTTATCTTTCTTTTATTTTTTTAAAGAAGACTTTATTAAGTTTCAAAAGAAGATCGATGGTCACACCAAGACATTCATCTGTTTCTTCCAGGAAAATCATAGCCCTAGGGTGGCACTGACCCCTCCACACATCCCACTGTTTAATCCAGCTTAGCTTTTCAAAATGAGCCAAAGACATGCAGATGTTTTTGCCGTAAATCAGGGGTCTTCCAACTTGGCCCTTTTATGACTTGTGGACTTCAACTCCCAGAATTCCTCAGCCAGCCTCCATTTTGTTTGTTAGATTTAAGACAGAGGTCTTCAAACTTGGCCCTTTTATGACTTGTGGACTTCAAGTCACAGAATTCCTCAGCCAGGCTGAGAAATTCTGGGACTTGAAGTCCACAAGTCATAAAAGGGCCAAGTTTGAAGACCCCTGCCTTAAATGATGATTCCTTTGAGCTAAGTTGGCTCTTGTTGACTTTGAGACACATCAAGTTTGTTTTCTTTGCAACAGTAGCCTTTTTTTCCTAGGGTGGAGTGGATTTTGTTCTGTTTTTCTGTGTGTGCTTTTGCATTTCCAATCTAGCGTCCACCCAGCCTGAGATCGCCTTGGCCTCCACTCACTTCGGATCTCGTTTAGCTTTTCTCAAGATGAACCAAATGACATTAACACCTTGGATGGATGGATGGATGGATGGATGGATGGATGGACGGACGAGTGGATGGATGGGTGGGTGGGTGAATGCAAGATTGATGGATGCGTGGATAGATAGATGAATGGTAGGAAGGAAGGAAGGAAGGAAGGAAGGAAGGAAGGAAGGAAGGAAGGAAGGAAGGAAGGAAGGAAGGAAGGAAGGAAGGACGGTTTAGACTGATGGGTGGGTGGGTGGATGCAAGAGATGGATATGTGGATAGATAGATGGTTGGTTGGTTAGATGGAAGGAAAAAAGAAGGAAAGGAAGGAAGGAAGGAAGGAAGGAAGGAAGGAAGGAAGGAAGGAAGGAAGGATGGTTAGACAGATAGATGCATGGGTGGATGGATGGGTGGATAGAAGGGTGCATGCAAGATAGATGGATGTGTGGATAGATGGTTGATTGGCTAGATGGATTGATGGATGGATGGATGGATGGGATGTTGGTTAGATGGATTGGTGGATGGAAGATTGGGTAGATGGATGAAGGGGTGCATGGATGGATAAATGAACGGCTGATTAGATGGGATGGATAAATGGATGGATTTATGCATGTATGGAATCATGGATGCATATTGGTTAGATGGATGGGTGAATGGATGGATGGTTGGTTGGTTGGATGGATGGATGGATAGATGAATTTATACATAAGTGGATGGATGCATGGATGGATGGATGCATGGATGGATGGATGGATGAATTTATGGATGGATGAATTTATGGATGGATGGATGGATTTATACATAGATGGATGGATGGATGGATGGATGGATGGATACATGGGTAGATGATAGGTGAATGGATAGTACTTTCTAGTACCTGCAGGTGGTTCCAGCTGGTATTTATTCTCCTGACACCAGCCCACTGGTCGAAGTCTACAATCCAAGTAAAACAGCCACTGGTCGTAAGACTCTGTTTCTTCCAATCCCGCATAGCGAAGGCGCAATCTTCCGCCAACATTCTCCACCACGCTCACTATCCAGAACTGAAAGGGACTCTGGCCGTCCTGCAGCTCTATTAAGGAATCCACCGTAATGAGGTCTACAGCGTTTTTCCCTCGCAGAGGCTGTTTGAACAGAAACAAAACTCCTTCTTTTAAACGTCATGGAACATCTCCTCTTAGCAAAATACTTAGAAAAATCACCAAAATTTCCCTCTAGGAAATCATTTCTCCTCCGTCCTCCATGCTACACATGCCATCCCATTTTCCCCCTCATTTTATTCCTGTTAGGCATTAATTATAGTAAGATAGGCGGCCAATAAATTGAATAATCAATAATTTTTTTAAAAAATGCCGTAAACACAGCAGGAGATGAGAAGAGAAATTAGCCAATACCTACGCCTTCTAGCAATTTTGCAGGCACTGTTCGTGAGCCCGTCAAATCACGTATGAGGAACTCCGTCCAGTCCGAGTATTTCTCTTTGATAGCTTGAAAACAGAACGGGAAGACGCGATTACTTGAAGGACATGATCACCTCTTTCTTCGTGTAGCTGAACGTAGGGAAGAGGCTGCATCCTGGAGAAGAGGCACCTCAGCCCAGGCGTTGCGTGTGTGAGAGAAAGAGGGCGAGGACAGCCTCGCCCCAATCGTTCCCAAAGGGACTGGGACTGGAGGCCAAAGCATATAAGGAACGGCTGCTGGAATTGGGTATGTCCAGCTTAATGAAGAGAAGGACGAGGGGGGACAGGATAGCAGTGTTCCAGTATCTCAGGGGCTGCCCCAAAGAAGAGGGAGTCAAGCTATTCTCCAAAGCGCCTGAAGGCAGGACAAGAAGCAACGGATGGAAACTGATCAAGGAGAGAAGCAACCTGGAACTAAGGAGAAACTTCCTGACAGTTAGAACAATTAACCAGTGGAACAACCTGCCTCCAGAAGCGGTGAATGCTCCAACACTGGAAGTTT